ATTGACTGGTGTTCGAAAAAGATAAATTGACATTACTTTCTAATTCTTTTGTTATTTCTATTATCTTTTCCGTTCATTTATCCCATGAAATTTTTCTAGACACTTTGCGGTTTTGCAAAACAACGAATTAGTCGCTCATGTACAAACAGATTAATTTTTAGCTAGGAGAGCCTTTTGAGTTAGTTTAATTTCTGAATCAGCCTCTTAGCTATTTGCTGAAATGGGTGACAAACACTATAACCATACTTTACATCTGCTCTTAAAATCTATCACTAAAATGAAATACATGCCTAATTCGTCAACTTTTTGTTAAGTCCTTAATTAGTTTTTTTTACACTCAATCTCTGCATGTTGATATAATGTTAATACTAAAGCTTTTTCAGCCCCTCTGGTGCACCTCCACACCATCAGGATTTTCAAGCAAGGCTCATTTTTGATTAGGAATTTCGGTCACCATAGGCCACATACGGAATGAAAGAACGGTAGTTAAATTTTCTCGCAATGGTTTGAGTAATCCTTGAGGTTCTAATGAATTCCACCTAGCTTTTCTTTTCAAAAGGTATTTTTGCCAGGGTGAACTGCAGTTTCGACCTCGTAGAGCTTCCTCAGTGGGAATCGATCCAGGATAGTTAAGCGTATAATTTCAATACTACCACCACGCCACTGCCCCAAGTATCGCTGAGCCACAGAGCAGACCTGAATTTTAAGGAAGGGTCTCTCACATATCACATTTTTATGATTGGATTGTCGATGAGGCAAACTTGTGTTTTGCCATTACATTTGATTACGTTACCTATACTTCAGGACTGTCAGTAAGTCTTGAATACGAGTTCCATTCACCCTAGTTCGCTTAAGGTAATGTGGGGAAAATTCAACTGAGATCCTTATTCACTGCTTACTGATAGTCCCGGAAAACTAATTTCTCTTTAGATAAATCTCATTCTCTTCACATACACCCAGTTTTATTTTGTACTGTTAAGGTCCTCATGCTAGCCTGATGTGTATGATCAGTATCCCACATTCCATGTTCAGAGAAGACTTGATTCTACTACTTTATGGATCGCAATTGAGCAATTCGAATATAATCTGTCATGACTATGTAGGCATTCATTTTGAATTATTTGCTCTATTGTAAAATTGTTCATTGGGATACGGTTCCGTTATACCTAGTCAGAGCTAAGATAGAAATTTTGAGTCTATGATAGCCTCGCCTTCATTTAAACATAAAAGCATAAAAGCTGTATTAACCCTATTTCGTTTAAGGTGATGAAGGAATTTTAATTACATTTTCCCAATTACATCAATAAGACTCACTTTTCATCAAATTTCATATAGACTTGCTTTTCAATAGGTTTCCAATGGAAACGTGAAAACTATTAATACTATTATGGGAAAAATTAATTAAGTCCTTCATTACCTTAAACCAAATAGGATTACCATAGCTCTTATCACTTAAAAAAATCATATTTACTATTCAGATGCCTGAGTTTTATAGGCAAGCTGATATTCTCATATGTTTTCCCTATTTTAACCAACTTAACAGTGGAGGGAATATTAAGGACATGGAGGATGAGAATTTCGGACTAAACGACAGTCTTGAATCAGCACTTGCAGCACAGTGGTAGGGGATGAGAGAACCAGCAGTCAGTGTGAATAGATCCAACTAAATCTGATCGAAAGGGCACGCCTGAACTAGGCTTAGATAAGCAAGTAAAAAGTTGTGATAGTGAAAGGATATTACGAGAATATAGGATAGGTAAATACACTGAGACAGAGGGCAATATACCACAAATATTTAGCATACAATTGGTCAAGGAACCGATTTCACCTGCCTCTGACGAGTTGTGGTGTGTCGATAAGGCTGACGAGAATCACTGACGAATTCGGCGATGCCTCTGTGAATCCATGGTCCGACTAAAAATTTTCTTGCATACAATGGACTTCCTGTCAATATGACCAAGTTGCGAAAACAAGGTCAAACAACTTCTATACAACGAATGGAGACCAAGGTAAAAAAACTTCTATGTAACGAAAGGAGACCGCGCACATACTAAAGGCCACACCATCTTGGGCTTCCTGCCTTTGATAGAAGCTTTTCGTTTAAAAAATTTAGACATGATCCAGAAAGGACCAAACATAGAGCACATCCAATTAAAATTCTCCAACCAGATGCCTTTGCTGAAAGAAAAGCAATATGGTTCAAATTGATTTATATTATTTATTATCTTTGTATCATTGCTACCAACTAAATGGTTCGGGCCGTAATATCTTCACTTCTCGGGCCAATAATTCTCATATTTTTTATTTTTTTACGCTGTGGTGACTTTATTTTCGAAGAAGAATGTCAACTAACCAATATCTCTAGCCTAATCAATATTCACAATTATACATTTGAGTACCGCATATCATCTACGTGTTTATAATGGATGATACTATACGTCAATCTTTTTTCCTCTTCATTCTTAAATTTTCTTCCTCACTCTTCAACTCTTCTTAATTCTTTTCTTGCGTTGATTACATGTATGGCCTCAATAAATAAAATAACGGGAAGCCTCTTGCTATATCCTTACTGCTAGCTTTAAATTAGCTTCTTAATTCAACGCAAAAAAATTTTATTATATTTTTAGGACCTTATTTCATCTGCTCCTGAAGCTGAAATGAATGGCGGTATCAGATCAGGGATCTCTCTTCCCAATTCTACCGGAATTTTGCGTAATAGCAACAGTTTCGGCCACCGCAGTTTCATTCCCGGCCTACAACCATTCTCTACCTCATTTCCCCTATTGCCCTCTTCTTTCGGCAATGGCAATGGCAATGGCAATGGGGGCGCTGGACTTAGCCCTGCAAACTTGTACCAACTGGTGTTCACCGGTGACATACAAGTGGTACAACCACCAGCCTCCAGCTTATTCACTGCAACTGGTCATTTAAGGCAAAATATACCTCAAGGACAATCTTACCAGCAGCAGGAACAGCCTACACTCAACCTCACCTCTAGTTTTGCTTCGTTTGGTTTCAATACTCCATCAGGCTCTCTGCATACCTTGGCTACTGCTACTCCCGCCTCTGCTTCTGTACAGTATCATCTAACTCCCATCATTCCTGGACACTTGCGTTCGGCCCATAATCTTGCTCGTGTTCAAGCCTCTAACTCCGCAGCTGCCAACGTGGCTGCAGCCACCTCAACTCTTGGCCAACAGGCGCGATTATCCAGCGAAGCGGCCGTTGGCCACTCAGCGCAGCTTCAGCGTCACAAGGTGTGTTTGCGTTCTATCTTGAGATATAAAAATTTGTCGTTTAATGATTCCGCGAGTATGCAGCTAAATTGGGTTTCGAAGACTCCTATAACACCACCTTTCATTTGGTTTGGAAGATTGAATTGAGAGGATTTATAAATTGGCCCTACCGAAAGCCGATGGGATTAGGGACTTATGTAAATAAGTCCACGATGCAAGGTCGCGCCCTTTTGATGAATCCAATCCATGCTAAACTTTCATGTGAAACTTTACTTTACGGAAGTTTACCAAGTCAAGAAATGTGGAAAGCTGCTATCCTTTCTACTTACAGTCTGACAATTTATTTTATGAAGGTGTTTTTACTTAGAAGTTGTTTGACCTTGTTTTCGCAACTTGGTCATATTGGTAGGAAGACTTAAAGGAACTCATCTTGTCCTGAGTCCATTCTATGCATAATTATTTCCAAATTCGCACCA